AGAGTCCCGGGCTGATTTTTAGTCCCAGTCCACCACTGGCTACATGACCGTATGATCGCCCATATTGACGCACCTAATTCCTAAACTTCTAACAGATACAAAATAAACCGATCCTTCAGCCTCATATGAGCTCTCAGACACGTTCAAAATTAAACTGTCATCGCTGTCTGAGCTTGCTGCTGTGTCCGCCATCGTGCGTTTACATGCAGATGCTGGGATCCTGAACGGTGCAGCTGGAGCGCTGTGCCCGCATTGACGTCACCCATAATTTGGCGGGAGTTGAAGAATCTCCGACAAGATCCAGGAAATTGTCAACATTGAAGGGCAGATTAATGGTTATCAAAGTACAAATATCCAAAATCAGTTCAGTAACAGTTTTCAAGGGGACAATATTTACTCAAATTGATGGGTTTGGATGATGGGCCAAAATCGTGTCACAGGCACTTTAAGGATAGGATAATGTCACTACTCAAGTAGTTGTTTTTAACTGTTCTTTAGTAAGTGTGCAGAGAAATGTTGATTTAAAATGTCAAATTGAAGGTTGGATACATTTTGTGTGCATATTAATATTTAAGATGCAAATTAATCCCAGTTTAATGTTACTATTACAAATACTTTCTATTTTTATTGTCTCATTTGGCGGCATCAATGTGTGCATTTGATACAGATACAGGAGGAGTAGCTCTAGGATTGGGTCTCATAAATAGCTCTTAAGGTCAAAATAATGAGATCCTCGATTTTATGCTAGGCGCTGGAAGATGCCGCTTCCGATGGCATGCACTCGGTTCTCATTGGAATCAATTGAAAAAATATTAAATTTCTGGCTAGCTGATTTAAACCTTTCTATTGAACATATTTTAGGCATGAGATGTTTTTATGATGACTTGATCAACTTTCTTAAAGCATGTTGTTCGCATACAAACTCTCATTGTTCTTTCTCTTTGTTTCTCGCTTATTCTTTTTGTACCTAGAAAGCCTGACAGATTCTCTCTGAGGTGGAAATGACTAAGTCACAAGAGTGCATTTAGAGCGGGGAGCCTCTGAACAGCTACAGAGACTTGTCTGGCTCCTGAATGGAGAGGGATGCCTCTTTTATTTAAATACTTAATGGCATTCTGAAGTCTTTCTCAAACAGCGTAGAGCGGAAACCAACCTGAGATCGTGCTCTCATTCTCATCTTGCGCTCTCTCCGGTCCTGGACGGTGGACAGGTAGTTGACGACGGCGTATTCCAACACAGACAGGAAGACAAAGACGAAGCTGACCCACAGGTAGATGTCCACTGCCTTGATGTAGGAAACCCGGGGCATGGACGCATTCACTCCAGTGATGATGGTGGACATGGTCAGCACCGTGGTGATGCCTAGACACAAAGACAAAAAGTCCTCACTAACTGCAGGTTGAGATTTCAGAGTGTAGTGCAGTATAATTATGGAGCTGACTCGATGTGGGGCAGCTCAACTGGGTTCAAAGCAATAACAACACAACACAATATAATGCAATGTGGTCCAACCAGTGGCGTTTTCTCCTGGAGGCCAAGGGAAGCCAGGCTTCCCCTGTTTATTCGGATTGTAGTTGTAATTTTAATAAATAAATAAAAACACTTCGTTTAGTTTCGTAAATTCTTTGTTGTGTGTTGCTGCCGGCCCGTCTTTCCCCCATTCTCATTGAGTATTTTACAAAGAGTGAAACAGCGCCCCTCTAGATGTTATGGTGAAACAGTAGATTGCACTCTCTGTTGCGAGAGGAGGCCAGCCGAAATTGGCTTCCCTTGGTGAAAAAAAATGGAGTGATTGACCAATCAGACAAGGCTCAAGTCATGCCCCTGCCAACCTGTGATTGGTCAGGGCCATGCCAAGGGAAGCCAGAGGCGGCTGGCTTCCCTTACCTCACAATCCAATCAAATCGCATCAATTTAGTGGTGCAGTGACGCGTCCCAAAACGCGGAAGCAAGTTGCGCTCGGTTTCCCTCGAAAAAATAGCAATGGGATTTCTCCATAGCATTTTTTGAAAATAGCTCGAAATCAGGTCAGTGGAACACGAACCTGTTAGATAAATGCATGTTTTGTTCAGTCGGATAATATCCACATGTCTACCCTACTTTTATAATTTTCGAATCATAAATCTAATCGATAGAAGATAGATAGCGTCACTGCACCACTCTCACCGCCGTTAGAAAGTAGCAAGCAACTGAAGCAAGTGCAATTATGGAGGGTGGAGATTTGGAGTATTTAATAAAAAATAATTGTACTAAACTTCCGCTGCAGCAGCAAAAACAAATACAATCTGATGACAGGCCAATGCCCAAACTGGAGCTGTGTACAGCGAGGAACAAAGGAGCGAATCGGACGTAAAACGGTCTCTGGTTTGTGAATGAATACTTATTAGAGTTTCGGCTGTCGGTCAGATAACAGGCGTGTGTAAGTCATGCATCTGTATGATACAAATGTGTGTAAAATGATACCGGGTGCTGTAATCACTCATGTGGTTACGTTATTACATTGACCACCACACCCCGACCCAAAATAAAGGACGTATTATTGGCTTCCCCTCATTTTTTTGCCACGCTACTGCAAGGCACAAGGCTACTTCACTCATTTAGCTAGCTAATGTAAGATACAAATGCTGTCGAGCCCTCACTGCTTGTAAAATAAAGAACACAAACTGACTACTTACCCGAGCCCCACTGTTCTCCGTCATTTTTCTTCTTCTTCTTCTTTCGTGTTTATTGGCGGTTGGCAAACCAACTTGTAGGTGCATTACCGCCACCAACTGGACTGGAATGTGGACAAGAGACTATGCAGAAAACAATAAACAAAAGAAACAAAACAAAACAAAGAACCAAAACTCTAGATTATTTTAAATTTATCAATTTCTCTTAGAAATGGAATAATCTCACAATATATTGCTCGCTGATGTTTTCCCGAACAACCTGATAGCGCAGTCATGGAATTTCCTTCTCTCAGTGTTGGAAGAGCAAAATTCGTCTGGTACTAATATTGTACTGCAAAAAGCAGAAAACATGCTCAACAGATTCGGCTGGCTACTGGCTATACACTTTCCGTTGAATGCTTTCTATTTTACTATGTATGTAGACTGTATGACCATATTCTCACCGAGAAATGACATTTTCCAACTCCTACTTTTAAACAACCAGGAATGACAAACATAGTCACAAAATAAAGGACGGAAACCAACAAACCCACCTCCCTTCCCATCCCCCACATTACCCTTTGAAATTTTTATAAAGATGTTTCCTGTATCAAAGGTCCCAAGATCTGCCATGGTTTTGTGCACTATTTCTGTATGCGATTTTAACCGTCCGCTTCGCCTGAGTGGAACTTCTATGTCTATTCATACTTCTGAGGTTTGTTTGGCCACATATACACCGAGGGGCCTGTGGTAATAGCGAGAGGCTGGATATGTTCGCGTTAGCCCGCGCCAACTTCCAGGGAAAGCTCGGGCTAGTCCTACCGAAAGCTCGGTGATTCTCTGTTAGCAGCGCGCGCACCCCCGCCTACCCCTTCACTCTGCCTCTGCGGCTAACCCTCCCCGCGACAGGCGTAGCGTTGGGCTCAGAGCTCACTCAGGAAAGGACTGCCTGCTGACCAATCAGAGACTCAGTGTGCGGCGTTAAAGCGAATGAGGTCATATTAAGGGAAAGGAAATACAGAAAGCGCCGTTTGCGGAAAGAGTCGACCAAATCAACGACTGTGCGAACGTGAACATGTAATAGAATACCACCTCCCATCTCAAGCAATCTACTATATAACATTACGCCGTAAGAAAGGCTTCTTAAATATCCTGCCACAAATAATAACCGGATCAGAGTAACATATACAGTCCGCGCAGTGCGCCGGCCATAGGGGCGCTAGGGCGCCGCCACCGGCGTGCTGCCGGAGAGTTTGATGTCATTAAAAATTAAAATAATAAAAATGATATATTTACCAAAAAAAAATATAGTTTTATTACTTTTTATTTTAAGAACAGGTAAGTGTGCTTCCATATAGTGGTATCAAGACAAGCTACCCTCCCTACAATAAATATATCGTAAATAGGTTTCGATGTCTAAAGTATGATTAATCACATTTTCCTGGCCTGGCCGCAGCGTAGTATCATTACCTCTCCTTCCGTACGGGCGGTAGAAGAGGGAGCCTCAGCCGGAGCTGCAGCCCAACCCAAGCTGACTGTTGCGATCTGTAAACATGCCATGCCGAAACATAAATTTGAGCCAAATCAGCGTCGTCAGATCTGATCTACAAAAGGGCGCCCTCAGCGCCCGACCGGTGTGCTGTGGGTTTTTAGACTCGTATCCAAGGTACGCTACAGTAGGGATGGCTGCGCGGGAGACCTGGCGGCCCGGTGCCCCAGTGAATGACCGACCCGGAGCTGTAGACAACATTGTGCATGCTTATTGCTAGTTTAAGGGCAATGCCTTGTGGCACCATGGAGCATATGTGTGGGTGACGCTGTAATTTACAGGAAAGGAGTGGAATCAGAGGGCGAGTTGTCGTTGCTGTGTCAGGTGTTCCAGTCTCCTCTCACCCCCTCAGAAACTTTGAGTTGGCGCTGCTGCAAAAGCACGCGCAAACCATCGGAAACCACATCGTGGGCAAGCGATTAAAGTCCGGTCGGAAACACGTGTGGGAGTACATCTGATTTCGCAGAATACGGAAAATCGGGAGGGGCGTGGCAGTAAATGGAACTGACACATCACACACACAGCACACACACACACATGTGTTGTCACCCATTGTCCATAGCCCACCAAAAAAATTTTCACCAGCCACCACCTGGTTCCGCGGCCCAATATCGCAACTCATAATGTATCATATGAATCTGCGCGGCTTATCCTGAGCTCAGGGCGCTATCTGGCCGGGAACACTCACAGTGTCACATACTGGATGCAAAAGTATTATTTGTACCACACATAAGTTGACGAAACACTCGAGAACAATTAAATAAGTCGATCCACCTTGGTTCCTTTCAGACGGCCCAGTCCGTATCATAAACCCTGTAGTCCATTCAACCACATTTTTTCTTTTACCAGCTGTATCACCCTTGCAGTTGCACTACGCCAGCTTTTATCTGGAACAAGTGGTTAAGTCATGGATGTTTAAGAGTGGTTAACTTTCATATGTCTAATATAATACTTACTTCATCTCGGAGGGTTGGACGCGCGCTGTCGTGCGCTTGTCATGTGTGATTGGTCGATGCTCCAAATAAACACTCCCTTTCCATGTAACGCGCACGCTAACTATGATATGGACACGGCTGGGCTTTGAGCGATAACAACTGATAACCAGCGTCGTAGTACGCGTTTAGCGGCCGCGCGTATCGCTTTTGGATTAGCAACCGACTCCTAACTCAAAACATACCATGGTTAGGAAAATCCAGTTAGTAAAGTACAGGCTCTGTTCCATATACCCTCCACACAAATCGAGCAGGAACCCAGATCGAAACCGAACTTGCTACTGCCCTTTGATTGCATTTCTAAATACT